TTTTTTTTTTTTTTTTTTCTTTCAAATTTTTCGTTTGCCTGTCACAGTTTATTGAAAGAATATAATACTGCAAAAGCAGTTAAACCAAAAAACGTATCTCTCCAACTTTGATGAATTGTTGATTGCTGCTTTTCTTACGTTTAGTTAAACCATAACTATACGTTAATTTTTTTTCGTTTATTCGTTTGTTCATTAATTTTTTTTTTTTTTTTGTTGTTCTTGTTCTGTTTCGTCTATTTGATTTTTCTACAAAAAAAAAAAAAATTATTTATTGAAATTTCTGTCAAAAAATGATTATCGCTAATTTTTTTTTTCTGCTTTCACTACAAATCACAATCATTGCAGTTATTTAAATTTCTTATTGCCACTTAATTTTCATTTTGCTTTATTTTTATTTCTTCCTCACAACTGATTTTTGAAAACAACAACAACAAAAAGGGAGAAAAAAAAACAGAATTTGAGAATAGAGTTTACAAAATTTAATGCTGTCAACAAAAACTTTGAGGTATGTGTCTATGTGGTGTTTGCTTTTGTGCTGTTGCTACCGATGTCTGTGACAACAAAACAGATGGCACTACAAATATATCTCAAAAATATCTGACGTTGTCTTGAACTGCAATAACAAATTATAGTGATCAAAAATTTTTTTACAACGGAAAAGCAACAAAAAACAGGGGTAATAGTTTCTGGTAGGAAAAGAGGCAAATTTTTGACACTCTTTCATAGTCTTTTTTCATTTGTGGAAGAGAGAGGTAGGAACATTCTTTTTAGTTTAAAAAAAAAAACGCGTTTTTAACTAAGAAGAACGTTCTTCTTCTGATCTTTAATCTTATAAAAGCTCAAGAGTGATCATTGTTCTATTCGAAGAAGCTGTTTTGAAGGGTTAAAGGTACAGTAGCTGTATCTTAAGATCAAGCAAATTGTATACGGCAGTCTGCTAACTGTGTGTTGTTCGTCGGATTCAGTGTTGTTAACCTGATTCCGAGAAACACTGTGTTGAAGTGCTTTTTTGATGCATGGAAGTTATGTAAGTCAAAAAATTTAACTGAAACTGATCAATGGAAATTCGGTGGCAGCTGTTTTTTCTTCTTTTAATACTTCTACTAATACTTCTTCTTCTTTTTCTCCTTTTTTTTTTTGTTTTTATCTCTAAAAATTCAATATTTCGGAAGTCAAAAGGCAAATGAAACAAAAAGAACTAGATAACATCTTTATTAATATACTCAAGTTAAAAAATACTACTGTTTTTGTTTGTGCTTTGTGTGTAAATCTGTTTTTCCTTCATCACTGAAAATAACACGATCACTATTAGTATTTTTCACCAAGCGGGTTGCTTCGTTGACGCCAACTTATAGCAGCTGCTCAGTGTTATCCAAAGGAAATTAGAATTGGATAGTGAAAAAGAAAAAAAAACAAACGTTAAGAAGAAAGAAGAGAGTAAGTTTGAGCGAGAAAAAAGAAAATTTAAGAAAAAACTAATATTTTTTAAATTTCTTCGCTAAAAAAGATTTTTCTTTTGTTTTTTGTGTATTTTTTTTTGTTTTGAAGCACTTATCCGCACGTGTCTTAGTAATATAACTTAGTGTGATACCAGCAGACAGAAACCACACTGGATTTCCACACGTAAGTGACACTGTTCTGTTCTAAACAAACAACAACAGTTTAAAGTTGAAAAAAAGAAAGTGAAACAGAGAAGAAAAAGAAAAGAAATTTTTTCTGAAAAAATCCAGGTTTTACTTCACGTTCAGCAGTTTATAGTTTCCAGTAGCTGTTCAAGCAACTGCAGTCAACGTACGCTGTATAAATATAGGAAAATAAAACTGTAAATAACTGTACAGTTAAAAAATCATAAATTTTTTATGCTTAAGTAAGTTTTTTCTTTTTCTTTGTGATTTAATATAAAATACTGCAGTATATATTTTTTTGATACTCTTAGCTATTGCAATATTATCACAACGAATAGGTTGTGGATTTTTTCTTGTCAAAAAAACTATGATAATATGAGTAAATTTTTAATGATCATTCAACAGTGCTTCCAACTGAAAACAAATATTTTTTTCTTTGTCTAATTCAATCCCCACGTGCTTTGAAAAAAAAAAATAAAACTTTTTTTTTAGACTAACTGTTACTGCAGTCACCGTTGTGCTCTAAGTTAGTCCTGTAAAGTCTGCACTAACTGAAAGCTGTGTAAATCATTTCAGTTGATGCTTTTTGAACATTTGACAACTGATTGACGAAACTAGGTGACAATTAATGAAAAATGTGGGGGAATCCTATTGCA